TGCAATACTCTTCATTGATCATGGAAATTGGTATTTAATTTACATTTAATTTAATTTATAGAACCAAAGATTCATGTTTGTTTAAATTAATAATTTTGTACTGGCAGGTCTTTTCATGAGCCAAGGAGATCTCCAATAAACCAAAATTTGAGAGTGACACAGGAACCCCAAAATTTGGCCTCACCGCCTCACTTTCTCTCGTCACCGGGAATTACACTACAAATAACACGATTTAAACCAAGCACCAAATCTTGTGAATGACCGGGCTATTTAGTCCCAAAATAACTTCAAAAGAAAGCGCCCATTAAGGGCAATTAATGCACATATAAATCTAGGGCACACAGCATAATGCAAATAGCTGCGCAAGCATTAAATTTGATGAGATCATACCAAGCACCAACAAATGCAAGAATATTCATTCTCCTTCACCTCAGTGCACAAAGTTTTAAGGTTGTAGATTACCAGTGACAAATTGCGGCGGCGATCAAAGGGTATAAAGGGGTTTCGTGGCTGTGAAACAGATGGTGCGTAGCAAGCGTTCGCTGCGCTCTGGCTACGGTCATACCAGGCATGCCAGAAAGCGGTAATTGGCCAGATGTTAGAGCCTGGGCAGTTCAACTCCTGTGTCCTTCCTCTATGGTACACACTAGCTCCACAAATAGGGCCGTAGTGGCTCTCTTTTACAATCTGTCTTTTACATGTCGCCACCACAGCCCTACTTCAAGGCATGTCTTAAATGCCTGAAATCAAAACTGCAGGATTGTCACAAACTTTGAATCCTAATATCTTCCGAAATGCGAACGACTCGACAATTTGAGCTTGGACTTTCATATGAGCACCCTAAAGCTTTCCAAAAGCGTAAATTTTCCGATGTATGGCGCCTTGAAAAACCCGGCCTGTACTATGAAATGCTGACCACGGGCGGTGCCGACAGTACAAAACTGGTTACCGTCACCCTGAGAGTGTTTGCTTGCGTGATAGACGAACAGGGTACCAGTGAGATAAAATCTGAATACATTAGTGTGCATGTTATCAATGTCAAGGAACTTTTCATGAAAACGGTGAATGGACAAGTACCAATCTTTAGAATTTATAACACACACAGTGTGCGTTTATTTTTATTTTTTATTCTTCATCGGTTCCTAAATTCGTCCAGAGGGGTGTCTTTGGGGCCAGATATTTTAGTCTAAGTCTGTATATCAGACCCGAACTTGAAGAGTCGCCAGGGAATCTTTGGCCATGGAACTGGACTAATTTCCGGTTTTACTTTTATTTTCCTGACAGCCTGGTCTGTCATTTATTCGATGGTGGGGGTAGACTGCAGATCAAGCACTTGAAGGGCATAATTTAATGATTGGTAATTTCCCTATCCAATATTTCCACAAGGCATTGTCTGGATACAAATTCGTTTTACTTGTCCAAAGTGTCATGAGTGTATCAGGGACACATTAAAACACCACTTGCCTTTGCACACGTACTTTGTCAAAATCACACATTGTTTTAAAATTGTATTAAAAGTGAGTGTGCTGCGACTGCGCGATAAGATCACAGAGAGACTAATTATTTCTTCACGATTCACAACCAATACACGCTTGTAACCAAGCTATGTGCCAGTGTCCGGAAGTAGGACTTTGTCGGTAGTGTAGAACCGTTTTCACAAAAGTTACCGTCACGTACGGTCAGAAGAAGACATGAAAGGAAAGACAGAGGAACGACCCAGATAAATTATGTGCACGCCTATGCAGCTCAACACCTCATCCCGAGTCTTCATCTCACTGAAGAAATTCAAACTGCTCAAGACATCTCCAAGATCCCAGTAGAGGTTTATCTACCATTTAAGCGGGACAGCCAGTCCCTGAGACAAGACCTAGTGAAAGCTACAGCCAGGATCATTTGCGAACACATCCCTCAGCTGGAACATTTGCAAGATCACTTCTCAAACGCACCTCATGAATTCACCAAAGAATCTTTCCTTTCTCGTTCAATAGCCTTTATAGAGGAACATTTTATTTCTCGATAAAATCGGATTAAATAAAATGTGGGGATGAGTAACATCAATAGCTTTGAGGTTTTACCGACTAGTTTGTAATATTTTGCGTTGTGGTAGCGAGTACAAATATTTTTAAAAATCTATGATTTTTTCATGAAAACGTATGTAGGTTCCCTTGGCCTCTTGACGACAAAGGATGAAACTCAGACGTCTCAAATGATAGAACTACTTCGCAACTATCATAAGTATGTTCCTCGTGCATCTGACGGCCAGCCAATGGTAAAAGTTCTGTAGAGCGATGGCCTGAGTGCTGAAAAGGTCAACAATGCCCAACTTGCAGTTGATAATATTTGTGGAGGGGATCTTTGGAGCAGGTTGGAGGGTATTGTGCCAGCGGCCCAAGAATGGCATAAGCGTGTGCTTCTCTTGCAGGTGAGAAAATGCCCACATCCAAAACTGGGTGCACATGCATATCATATCTCTCCAAGAAAGTTGATTTTAGATGCTCTTCCTAACTTGTCTTTCAAATTCAAGTATTAGAAAATCGAGTTAAGTATCACAAAAAGACCTTAGTTCTCAGTACAAGTATCAGCAGATAGAAATTTTTTTGGACGTTAACAATTGGAAATTATTTTGACACAGGACACCTATGATAAGCTCTTCGATACAAACAGATCAAGAGATTTTGGGACTCCGGCAGAATTGCGCAATCGTTTCAACAAGCGAAAGTTCAAAAAACATGTGAAAGAATGCTTCGACCCGGCATAGGAATTGATGGAGTTCAGCACAGAGGGATACGTACTAGATAAATAGATAATGATCCAAACGTATACTGCACCTGTGAACAGCGGAAGTGCGAAGAAATGGACGAATGTTCGAACCCGGCATGCCCAAACGGACAGTGGTCCCATCTGAGTTGCGTGAATTTAACCCCACGTTCTGTACCTAAAGGAAAAATGCCATGGTTTTACTGCGAACTGTGTCGGGTATCGATGGAAAATAAAAAATGAAAAGGGGACACAGCACAGTCGAACACAGTCTGATGAAACACCTGTAATAGTTTGCACGAGAGAATACAGCAAAGCTCTAACTTGGCATGGTCTCAATCACATCAGAAAGACAGCATTCGGGGAAACAATGGGCCAAAAATGCCACAGTATTGGAGACATGCTTTACCGCAGTTCATCCTGAACAATCACACGAATAACACCATATTTGCCATTAATCTCTTGAGCAACACCAATGGAGCCGCATCCCAACGACTGCAACATCAACTTACGTGGAGTAGAGCAGTCAACACCAACGGGGGGTTCAATAACAACATTGCATGCGACTTTCACTTGGAGCATCTCAACAACTACTACAAAGGTTAGGAAATCGCCAGGACGGTGAACTGTCCCCACACTAAGTTTACATTGTGCATTTTAAAGATGTAACCGTTGCCTCTAATACCCTGAAATTAAAATGGACGTTCCACACGTGTCCAAGACTTACAAATTAAACAGTTACCGATCAAACATGCTGAATCAAGGCACTTCGCGGGCTTGTTTTCATTCTCCATAAAGTTCAGCTTAAATATCAAAATGTTACTAACAAATACTGGTCATACCTTATCTTACAGCAAGCGTCAATAATGCCAGAGGATGTAGGTCGCAAGAAACAGTAAAGAGACACAGCTGCATGATTGGTTTAGGTGGCACAATAAACGAGGCATTCGACCGTCAAGTAACTGAAAGGGAGCCTCGATATTCCAAAACAGGAGGAGTGAGGGAGAGGAATATGCAATATCTGACAGAACACCTTGTCAAATACAAGGTGAGTATTATGAATGGGGAGTGAGTATACGGTAATGAACAAACATTCATATGTTTAGGGTTGGACTTGAAAACTACTAAAATTATCCACGGATTCAACAGTCTGCCAAAAGAGCCATTGAACACGAACAAAAGGCTTGCCCCATGGTATACTCACTGGAGCAAACTAGCCAGAAACGTACAACCTGTTTAAAAAATTATGACAGCTCACAACATCAACTGGGCTTCAGACAAGGTTACGGTGCAACAGTTGCAGATACAGAAATTGCTGAGAGTTTGGTGTCAAACAGGCGTGCACCTACTAATGTATTATATTGTAAACTGAAAATTGGTACCTCTCCTTTATATACTCTGCTTGAACTATTTCTTAATTCTCTTTTGGGGTATTTTTTAGATTATTTTTTCGTGGATTTCCTCCCCATACCCCCATCCGCACCCATGAAGCATCTGCTTCGTAATTAATAACTAACAGTTTTAATGTTGTTTGTTTTGGCATGCCCGTGCATGCATGATCAGGTATGGGCCGATGCACCTGGCAGGTTCCACCAAAGTTTTCCAAATTTTGTCCACGAACGTCTACAAATCCACAAACTCTAAGTCGTCAAATCACGAGTGGAAAAGCAGAGAGAGAAACTGGCGAAGCGGAGGGCAAATATGCAAAGCTGCATTGAAACACCTTCACTGACAAGTTCAATAATCCAGTAAGTATCTTTGCAGTGGATCCTTTGTTTGTTACCACACATACACCTCGAAAAGCAGGTTGAACAGCACAGACACAAACCACATCTGCAGAAAACATCAGGGCAACCCTTACATTTCTCTTTGGCCATCGTGTATGTGCCCATTGCATCTTGCATCGAGCTGTCGATTACAGAATTTGACAACATTTGTGACGGAGACAAGTACTCTTTTCCAGCATTTTCTTCAAACACTCATCTTGGCTCAGGTTTATGCTTCATTTGTATGCATAGCAAACGTTGATGCCATCTCGTCCATCCCTGGCACATCGTCCAGACTCCTGCCAGTAAAGCATAGCCGTTCTTGGTATTCCCCAGTTGACTACAATGTCTGTGTCACTTATTTTTACACCCACGCCCACTGCCAAGGTTACCAATAGAACCTTGATCGTGCTATTAGCCTTTGGAAACGTACTAATAATTATCTCCTTGACTTCATCTGGAGTTCCTGAATGAAACATCTCAACATGTGCATTGTATCTCTTCACTTTTTTGTCCTTGAAAGCATCTTTTCCAAGCTCTTCTCAGAACGAATGAAAAATCGTCTGACATGCCCTAACAGAGTTGGTGTATACAATCATTTTCTTACTGTTCACTCTTTTAGATTTCAAATGGTTAACGATCCAAGGAAGAGCAACACGCTGATTCTCTGTTACGGTTTGTAAATCGAAGAAGATATTGGAGCGGTCAGGAATGATGGAGATTGTCATTTCATCGCGTTTCAGACATAAGCAGGAGACAAATATCTGAGTACACTGCTTAAGTGGCAGTTGCTGTCACAGCCGAGATGGGTGCATCAAGGATAGAAGTCACCAATGTTACTTGTCTGTAGGTCGGCCTAAAATCAAGTCCCCTGTGTAAAACAAATTCATGGGATGTCAGCAGAGAAATCGTTAATTTAGAAAGGCACCTATCCTTTCAAAATGAAAACATAATGTGGGGAATAGAGGGAGATATTCATAATTTCTGGATAGCTTCTCTGTAACACTGTTAATAGTCCCAAAAAAGGGATGTAGTATGTCCTTGGAAGCATTTTCTAAATTTGATATGCTACCTTACTGTGCTTAATTGCAACAAATTTTTTATCTACCTTATTTCATTCTTTTTCAGTTCACTTTATGTAATGTTTCGGTTTGTGATTAGACCAGCGGCCATTTGGAAATACCTTGTTCTTGTATATGTATATGCTTTGAAATACTAAAGAACAACACTTACCGCTCCGACACAGTGTGTGCCTCATCGCATGCCTGCAGCAGAAGTTTTTGGTTGTACAAATTCAATAAAACCTTTCTCCAGTTACCTTCACGTAGGGCTTTGGGGATTGCAAACAAATGTGTGACCCTACCCGCAAAAACATCTGTGAAGAAATAAACGTGAAGCGTCAAAAGAACTGCCTTATATGCGAAATCAAATGGAAACATCTGCACTTACACCTAAATAAGGAAGGCATCAGACCAAAAGCAGAGAAAAAGAGAGAGACAAGGAGAGGGAGACTGAAAAATATAAAAAACATCGATGGTCAATGTGCACGTCGCTATCACGCAACACCGTGACACGATTTCGAGGAGGGTGGGAGAACTGGCGGGCAAAATATACCTACACACTGTTAATTAATCTGAAAAATAAAAGTTTGCATCTATAATTACCCTCTTTTTCAGCATCAGAGATTCCTTGCTTGATTCCGGCGGCGGTTATACCTTTGGCACGTAGTTCCACAACTTGATTGTCCATGAGAGTCTTCGATGGTGTGATGATCAACGCAGTGCATTGCACACCTAGTTTCTTTGAAAGCATGAAAGTTATACAAACCCATCATGTCGCCTCACCCAGAAAAATATTACTATCCTGCATGCTTTTCATGGTCAGTATACTCTCAGCGTATAAATTTATGTCCGATTTTAGATTATTAACGGAACGAAGAGAATTGATGCCAGTCAGCCCCAAGCCTTTTTAATAATTCTACGTATGTCACTCCATATCTAACAGGGAAAGTGGTGCACAGGAACCCCGTATAATTAATGAATCTTTATCTTCAGCAAAACAGACAAGCGGTCAGCTAAACAGCAGTAATGAGTATAGGGTAGACGTTGACATGAATTTCCTAATATAAATTTACATGCATATGCACAGTGTACTCAATACTTTTTATAATTTGTCTTACCTGATGCATTAGAAGAGATGGTAGACAAACGCTTTTTCCATGACCAGTTGGTAGCAAAGCAAAGCAATCTGATGTAGGCCTATTCATAACATTTTCATTTTGTTCTTTTTGTTTATCCTTTAAATCAAAAGTAAAAGTATACCGAGCTTTAACTTCGCAGTATAAATCATCGACATCCTTATCGGTTACTGACATGGTGATGAATACTTTTTCGAACTGTCCAAACGTCAAAATGGATGAATAACGATGGCTTTAGAAGGTCTGTAGTGTACGCCGATACTGGAACACACGTTCACTCGCTTCGAACACGTGGAGTACGCCGTACAGGTACGTTGTACAGTACATGTACAGTACGTGTACATGTACTTACTTTGTACAGTGTACATGCACGTGCCACGCACTACACACGTGCGCTGTGCGCTGTACACTAGCAAAGTGCGCGCCCAATTATTACTGTGCAATACTGTGACGACATAAATAATGCATCCACGGCACCTGTCGGGTGCCCTGACTTCCAACGCACGAAGCACTGCCTTCGTTTTTCAAAATGGCGCTGGCCGTGGTCAGCATTTCATAGTATAGGCCGGGTTTTCAACGCGCCATACATCGAAAAATTTACGCTTTTGGAAAGCTTTAGGGTGCTCGTATGAAAGTCCAAGCTCAGAGGAATACGCCAATGTAAGTAAAATTGTCGAGTCGCTCTCATTTCGGAAGATATTAGGATTCAAAGTTTATGACAGTCCTGCAGTTTGGATCAGGCATTTGAGATAAGCCTTGAATTAGGGCTGTGGTGACGACAGGTAAGAGACAGATTGTAAAAGAGAGCCACTACAGCCCTATTTGTGGGGCTCGGTACACACATATTTTCAATACATTTGAGCTCGTAGCCTAGAGGGGACTACTGGCGGCCTATTGAGGTCTGTCGGAAAACACAAGTGTAAAGAAAATGCAGTGTCATCAGAAGAGAGAGTACCTGTGATGTGCTGGTCGTCAAAAACAGGTTGCCCCTTTTCTACTGCTTCCAGAATGTTTTGGCTTATGATACGTATACTAAAAATGACAGCATTAGCACTTGAATGATCCATGTCTTCTGTTGCCAAGCATGCCAATTTTCCAGTAACACATTCTGCATGTCTTTGTGACGGCCTGTCACCTATAAATTACGTATCATGTATATCTGCACAGCTGCAAGCCACTACAATACACAATTTAAATTTGTTACAAAGCACATTATTCAGGGGTGCCTGTCTGAACCTTGTCAATATCTTTAAATACTTGTTGAGGACTGAAATTAGCCCAATGTATGAAAAGCCTGAAATCGAACTTGCTTGAAAATTGACTTCCTTATAATTAGATCAGATGCATGAACTGGATCCACATGTTTCTTGATCAACTTATTCTACCTCATCATTCCATTTAGGTGACAATTCAGAAATCTGGAAACAGCTTACTGACAGATTATATCATCTATAGAATTCCTGCCAAGAAAATGACTTTACTTGTAGGTGAGCGTTTTTATTCTACAGGTATAATATTTTCTTATGAAGCATGTCCAGAAAATATTTGTCCTTTATCGAAATTTTTAATTCCCTTATTCAAGTGATAGAACACTTGTTTATGAAATCTCTCAAAATACAATAAATGATTTTTATGATCAAATCCCAACAAAACATCAGTCATCTGGATTGAATCAGATCAACTTTTTACCTTGGTTACATATATTAAATTATTTCATAATTAAATCTTCACAAGAAACTTAACTGATCATCCTCATCATATCTGAGCAACATTTTTCTCTCGACTGAAGCATATCTATGTATCGAACTGATTGATCCTGTTATGAGACAATGAACAAGTCCCCATTCATCTCAACTTTGGAGCATTTCTTCAGCCTACACAAAGTCCATTTTCAGGTAGCCTGAATCTAAAATACTGGACAGTTCACATCGAAACTCGTTATATGATACATATGTGGAGGACAAGATAAGTGTTGGACCACAGGTATGTGCCACTGGAAATCTTCCAGCACCCTTCTTGACTCCACAGAATTCAACAAAGAGTGAATTGAAACACAGAATTTCTGTACTGGTGCAGAATCGGATGAATTTGCGCAGGCGTGGTGAATCCAAACTCCGAATGAATTGCTTGAGGAACCCCAAGGCTTAGTGCTGTCCTCTGCTGGGTTGGTGTGGTTTTAATCAGCCTTATCGTTTTCCTTGGTGTTGGCTTTGTATCTTCATATAGTGCCAAAACTGTTTGGTTTGTCGGTAGTAGCAGTTGTAAATCAGAACTTTGCTGCTATCAAATCCATGGCATATTTAGGTATCTGAATCAATTCTTTATGAGCTGCATTCATTTTCTCTGAAGAGGTTACAGTGTGACAGTCAGTCCTACTGAGGAGGTCAAGAAGGTGTTCTTCATCATGCCACTGAGAGCTTTGTTGATAACTTCTGCATCTAGAGGAGAGAGGAATGCACCGTATAATTCAATGAGCATTTCTTCAAAACTGCTCCTTCTACAAGGATAAGTGCCACAATGCGGGAGACAGGCAGGTTGGGAACATCCGCAGATCTTGAAACCCTTTCAATAAAATGCGGCCAACAGCATTCCACTCATCCCATCCAAACTCTGGCTAGATTGATAGTACCTTCTCAATCTCACTAGATGAACTTGTCTGATACAATTCAGCCCCAAATGCAGTGCATGCCTCTCTCGATACTCCAGCAGCGTCAGCTCCAACTTCACCTTGAAAACTGAAGAGCAATGGGATTTTCTGGATGTATGGGTCCTTGAATACATCTATCATGTCACACAGGATGTTGCCCCTGTAGTGTTATAGTTCGCTGGGCTCCCATCAGAGAAGACATGTATGGAGGTGTAGATGGTCCTTGTGGTACTGATGCCAACGAGTAAGGAGGTTGATGAGTTGCTGATCAAGGCAGAATGGGTGAACCAATTTGAAAAGTTGGTAAGAGAGGGGGTGGGGCGGGTGGATGAGGAGGCAGATTTGGTGAAGGAGGAGGCCGAGTTGGTGAAGGAGGAGGCAAAGTTGGTGAGCAGGGGGCTGAGTGGATAAGTCCTGTAGAGAGTGGTGCTGAGATAGTAGGTAGACACTCATTATCACAGTCTTGTGCTGAGTGTGCTTGCCATTCAGTTGAGATGGTTTCTGCCTGTTTGTCATAGCAGGCACTGGTATGTGTTGTTTTGGTTTGCTTAGCAGGTCGAGTTTCCTCCTCCCTCTTTCCTAGTACATTGCAGGAATATGTTGTGTGTAGATAGAACCTCAATATCCTATTCGGTTTCTCTTGCATGTACATATCTCCAACTGTTGCATCTGCCCCCAGTGGACAGTGGGTAAAATCGTGAAGGCAGCACTCAGTACAATCAGTTTGAGGCCTTTTTTGGACATGCCATTTCTGAAAAAGAGAAGTGTAGTTGCTTCCAGGAGGGCCTCCAGATTGGCATCTTTTTTTCAGATCAAGTTTTCTCACACCTCCACCTCTGGAACTGGAGGGATGTGTTTCATTTTCATCATTTTTAAAAGGGTGGATTTTTAAGTGAAATCTGTCCATTTTTTATCTCTGCCCTGTCCCAGACCACATGGAAGAGCGGATTCTGCTAAGAAATTATATGTATTTAATATTCATTGATGTCTTCAAGCTCATAGATGCGAAAAGCTCACTGACTTTAGATGCAAAAATTGAAAATATCAATAATGGAAGGGTGTAACAGAGAAATCACTGTCCAAGTGAACAACTTGAAAACATTGTAAACCTTAAATATTTTATATAGGATATAAATGGACATTTAACTACTAGTACTTATGTATACTTGGTCAAGTTCCTGACTTAACCTAAAACGTCCGCCATTTCCACATGTACATGTATTTATAGTGCACTCTACAACACCTTGTGGTTTGTTTTGTCTCTAGCAGTGGCATTGATAAATGCCATGGTAGTGTAAATTAAGGGTGATAACACTGAGTAGAATTACACATCCAGGTGCAGCCCAAAAGTTGTTAAGGAGTTGTTTTGCCAACTGGAAGGTAAAATGTGTGATTTGGATGTGTGAGGGTTTTGGATGAATCGAGGTAGGGTAGACCAGATCAGATGTCGATAGAAGACAGACGTGTGTGTTTGTTGTATGATCGCATGAATTTCAGCCACCAGGCGTAGCAAGCTACAGCGGGCTTTTGTTATCAGCGATCTGTCGATAAGTGCTTGATTTATCGAGATTTGTTTGTGAGCGTTTTGGCTCTGTAAAACACACTGAAGAAAGAAATTCAGCAGTTCTGTCAACCAGACAACCGTAAGTGTTAATTCTGAACTTATCTGATGTTTTAAGAGTTTTAAACACTGAATTCATGAGCTTAACAAAAGTGGATTAATTCAAGAAGTTGTCAGTATTAATGTTTCAGAAGGTTAGACTGTGGACTGTCGATTATTGGACTATACATGTACATCGACATTTGAATTTACCGAGTTTTGCAGCAAGAAATAGTTATTAAGGGGAGCTATAAAGAGGAACTATTGAACATAAAGTGTTCTTTTGATTACTACCAAACAGTTGAAAAGAATTTGTTATGTGGAATATGGTTAAATGTTTTTAATTATCAGATGGCTTGAAGTTGAGGGACCAAACCCGAGATACTGAAATTTATTGGTGCTCAAGCCACTCAAACCAAGGAGGAGCCAACCCATAACTTAACCAAAGAGGCCGTGGGACACCCGGAGGCTGTGGTATTTCCAAGGATAGTGCCAGATTCTAACCAGTTGCGGTCCATATATATATCCTTATTACATCCAGATCGCTTACTACAGTGAATTAGAGAACTTAAAATTGTAATAAAAGCGAGCTGTATATTAATTTTGTATGAAGTTAGCTGTATAATTGCCTGCAGATGACATACATAAGAAAGAGAAGACCTATGTATGCTTTTATCGCCTGAAAATTACCCACTGACGAGATAGTGTAAATACTTGTAAATTTATGAAAATACATACAGACTTTTGAGAACTAAGTAGAAGGTCTCTGGTGTTCCTTTCGTTGTTGGGTTGTAAATATATTTAGTTGCAGACAGAAGGGACACACAGTTTGGGAAATATCCAGCAATGCCCACCGTCACTACTTGTTCGCCCGGCCCTGGATTCGTTCACCCAATCCGTGTAGCGCATGTTTTTTGATTTTTGATTGGCATGCCCCACGTCCCCATATTTAAGGGGCTGGCCCTTCGTGTGACCAACCCGCTGCCGGCGTTATTTCTTGACCTGGCCGTATATTCGCCGGGTATAAATCATTTTATCGCATAATTAATTCTATAAAATGTGGTATTTAAGTTTGTAACGGTAGCTCTGCAGGGCGAGGGATTGCGCGATAAATTACCATGCCCCCTCGCCAGTTGTGAATGTTTTGTTAGTGCTCATTCTGGTACCTGATGCGCTGAGGAAGTGAATGGAGGCAAATAAACTAGCTAAAAGTAGGTAGAACAACAATTTTCCGTTTCCAGGCGTACCTTCCTTTCAGCGTCCCTTGTTTTCCGTGTAACTGGCGGTATATTTCCACCCAAACGGATCCAGGCCCTGGCCAAATAACGCGCAAGCGGCATCGTGACCGGGCTAAGTGGCCCTGCGAGTTTATTGACCTTCAAAGCAGAAACCGCCACAATACAGTCATGTCATACGAGCCCCGTGGTAGTCACTAGACAGTAAAACACGGTTTTCAATATCCGGACTTCTGATGGAACCGCGCGTGTGGCTATTGAAGTTGCTTGCGTGTCGTTCTTAAAAGTCTACTGACAACTATAAGGTTCTAATTCACAGCAACTTCATCCCGACAAATAGAACATAATTTTGTTATGAAAAAAGGAGGGTATACTTACATTTATAGAATACCCTGCTGTACTTTCCCTGCAGCTCAGTCACTAACCACCATTCTGTTGAACTTGCTTTTCTGTCAGGACGAACTATCCACTGCAGGTTATGTTCAGAATACCGTGAAAGGTAAGGGCTATATGCAGCACGTTACTTCATGGGTCCAATTGTTCGTGAACCGTGACCTGCTTGATTCCATCTATAACACACAGTTTGTCCCAAAGTGTGACTAGGTACAATCGCTATGTAATGCCCTGGTTGGCCAAACGTTGAGGGAACAATTTGTTTTGTTAGAAAATCAGTGAAAAGAAATTGTGGGGGAAAAGCTGCCCTCATACCGAATTTGACCCCAGGTAAAATAAGTAATGATAAAGGATATAACCCCATTTACTCGTTATTTGTTGGTGAGAATTGGCCCGAAGAAAATATTCGACAACCTCTATTATGGCACTTATTTTTTCTGTCGCTGTATTATTTTGCACGAATGGAGCAATTTTGTTTGAAAGAAAGACAAGAAATGTGATGTTACTTTATTAAGTTAAGATCAGTATTCATTTGTGTGTAAGCCATTGTAAACTATGTTTATCCTCAAGCGGCGTTTATTCACAATAAGTGGGATGTTGTGCCGGAGTGCGTCATGAGCTTGACAGTAATAGTCACAGATTTTGAACACCAAACGAATTTCGCTCGCAAGACTGACGAGTGCTTGTCATTTCGCATCGTAGGTAAACTTACAAAAACTGTACTTATCCTTTAGTGTTTATTAGGTGAGGTGATATTTATACTGACAACATCATTGTTGTCCTTCAGGAAAGATCTGTTTTGAGACCACCGAAAGAATTAAAGAGAAAACAGGTACGACCTCGTTAAAGTAGTCCAAGTAATTCCTTTTAAAGGTGTTTTTTGGTATTTCCTGACACAATGGGTCGCAAAAAATTAGAAAAAGAAACCCTTTACTCACAAAAAACAAAGTTATCATAATTGGCAATTGCGTAATACCCGAAAAAGTAGCTTCACAGAAGCGATGTTGTTCACTTTGGTCAGTGTACTAATTGATGTTTATTCATGTTATAGAGAAAACTGTGCATTTATGCTTGCAAACGGTTTTGTTGTAATACACAATTGAATGTTGTACATGTACACTCACCACAAAACGTGTCGCTTAATAAAGACTCTCTGTTCAGCACATTTTACAGAAAGGTTCATGCAGGACAAAATAATTTATAACTGTTCTTCAACTTCATACTTTATACGGTCCAAGAAAACTGCAGAGAGTTATTGCTGATAAAAAAGGAGTAAAAAGATGGACTTCTATCCTCAGTAGGTAACTAGATGTTGTACGATCACTTACGGAGAAGGAGGAGGAGCAAAAGTTGAACTATAGCAATAACATAGATGATTGGCTGAGACCAATCAGCAAAATACCGAATTTTTTGCTCAAAACTTAAAAACTTTTGTTCCACCCTCCACGAATTCAAACTAACAACAATTTCAACAGGAATATAGGCTAAAACGATAGATTTTACAACTCGCAATTAGGTGACGTCTTACGTTATGCGCGAAAATAAATGATCTGGAAAATTTGACCGATGTGAGAACACTGCATAAAATGACAGCTTGGGGAGTTTGGAAGGAACATTTATGTACAATTAACTACTTTTTCAACGAGCACGACTTAAATTTTCAAAAGATCATTTTCAATTTGGCATGAGGTTTAGTCTGGAAAACATAATCCTCTTGTTTTCCCTGCTACGTCATTAAGTTGATTAAGTTTGCTTCTAGGCCTAACAAGAACAGCTCAGGAGAGAAACAGCAAAATGAGTAAAAAAATAATTAATAATAAATAAGTAAAAACACGCGAATGAATTCAGTGAAAATAACAGTGAAAATAACACGAGACTGATTTGAACTTGATCTGTCGTTCATTGAAATGCTGCAGTAATTTTCCATCTCATTTGCATTATTACATCAGCTTAAGTGATACCAGTATTATAACTAACATACAATACTCCCGCGATTATTTAGTCCCAGATTAAAGGAGGCTGCGTACCGGTCCAAATTTCCCTTGGCCTTGGTTGGGAGTTCCTAGATGAGGGTCACAGTCGCGTGGTTCTTTACCAGGCAGTGATAATTGCTCTCGGTACAACAGATCGCTTATAGATCACAAACCAACCCAAGTTGTGCATAAAGTATCATCTAAGAGACAACAGCGTCTTTCCTCCAACATAAACATAAACCTAACACTTTCATTTTCTCTGAAGATAATGGTCGAAAATCACTTATACCGTATCAAATTAAAGTTTACAGTACTTGGTTAGTAAACCGTAGATTTCATCTGAAGCTTACGTTGCGTTGCAAAGATATTTTCATCTTGATTACGTAACGCGACTGTTTTACCCAGCCCAACGGATGTATAAACGGTTTATGCTGCTTGTGAATGCAGTCACTGAATTCAAATTTTAATATATGACAAAGCTGTTTTGGTTCTTTACTTCTTGTGAATTTCTGAGGGACTTCTAAACTTGACACACGAGGAGTTTGTGATTTCTTATGTCAGAAGGCAGTAGTTGTTTAATTTACTGTTAAGTGAGTTTATTTCAGAGTGAGTAACCTAAGCTGAACTTATACAATTTACCCCAGTCAATTTGTAACAAGGTGCTTTACTTCTGTAACATTAGCCACTTGGAACCATTTCAGGATGCTGTTTGTTGATGGAAAATAAAAGGTGACTTAGTGTCACACAACAGAACCCTGTTTATTTCAGCATCTTCATTCTCTATGACGCTCCTATGACCTGTTGTGTTAAATTGCTAAAATAAACACAGTATTTGACCATGGAGGAAGGACACAGAAGGAGTTTGAACTGCCCGGGCTATAACATCTGGCCATATACCGCTTTCTGGCATACCCGGTATTTCCATAGCCAGAGCGCAGCGCACACCTGCTACTCACCACCTGTTTTGCAACCATAAGCCCTCTTTGTACCCTATGATCGTCGGTGCAATTTTTCGTTGGTAATCTGCATCCCTAAAATGTTGTGTACTGCAGTATAGGAAGTTGAATATTCATGCCATCGTTGCTGCTTGATATGATCCGACAACAACATCAAATTTAGTGCTTGCGTAGTTCTTTTACTAGGCTGTGTACCCGAAGTGTTCATGTGCAGTTGTTGCCCTTATCGAAGAATTTCTTCAGGACTTCTTTTTGGAATAAATAGCCAAGCTGTTTGTATGATTTTGTGTTTTATTTGAATAAATTTTATTATGGCATTTGTACAAAGGCGTATTTTATGAGATTTCACGATCACTTCCTGTGATGAAATAGTGCATTTTGTTCCCAATGAACTGAGCTTTCCAGAAGTAGTGAAGATTTTGATGGTCAGTCTTAGCCAAACTCGTACCTAGTCTTTGAACACTGATGTATTGGACAGAGGAGACTAGAATTATAAACTTTGCATGGACAATGAAACAGTGTGTCAAAATTTGAAAAGTTTATTTATGATGACAAAAGTAGGTCTAATATCAGGAATTTTTTCTCTCTATTTCCTGGTCATATCGATAGTTTGTATTTAATTGCAAGCTAAAAATTACAAGTATTGCCAGGATATTACTGGCCCTGCTTGTCTGGCTAAGATGCAGACAGCAATAAGGCATTTTTGGAATGTTTTCTATTATTCGTCAGACGCGGCGGCGACCATCATTAGACGCTTTGAAGTGCCTGAGTTAAAACTCCTCTGTCCTTCCTCCATGAATTGACCCCTGTGGCAAATCCCACTGGACAGAAGGACAAAACAGTGGTCTTAGTAACCCAGATTACCTCCGCAAAGCATCACCCGATTGGTGCCCTGTGCGCATGCAATCACACAAATACCTCTGCGAGTCTGGAGTCACAAACCTTATTCCTTGATGTCTGATACCTGGGTCTCAGCATTCCTCTTCAGATGAGCCCTTGGAACATTTTAAAGATAAACCTGTGCTCACCCTGGGAATTGGAAAACATCTAACCTGAACTAATTTTTGGCACAGCCAGCACTAGAATGCTTATATTCTGTGTCTGCTAAAGGTGGTTTGTATATATGCTGTATACATTTTGAAATTTCTGATTGGAGAGAGGGGTAGATAGGGGCACAGACTCAACCTGAGGGGGAAACACACCTTTGTAGTTTCGCCACAACATAAACACTACTAACACTACTTAAACAAAATGCTTAAACATTCTGAAAGAGCACGATGCTCAAGTTTACAAGTCAGATAATTTCGTAAAACAAGATGGGAAAAAAAAAAGAAAAAAAGCGACA